TGCACTGGGTTTAACCAGAGCTGTCTGTGTGCCCATGGGTTTGGAACTGTCCTTTGTCACCTGCTGGGCTTCTCTATAGGTTCACCACTGGAGACAATTGCTTCCCCCTCAGAATCCATCACTAACCAATAGTTCACAAGAGAGAGTTTGAGCCCATGAGCTTCTCCCTGACCCATGATTGACTAACCACAGGACCAGTCTTTGGCTGGCTAAGTGGAGGTAACCTAGCTGCTATGGGATCATGATTACAATGACTACATGGTGTCCTGAAGATGGCATTTCACAGATCCTCATCTCATCTTCTGGATGCCTTTCTGTGATTTCCCTGAGCTTCAGAGGGGATCGTATAAATGTCCCATTTAGGACTGAAAAATCAACTATCACTTATTCTCAGCACCTAAGCAGCCATGAGTCTCAGCATTGATTGCCATTCACTGCAAAGAGAACCTTCTCTGATGAAGGCTTGTGGTACCATTTGTCTATGAATTTAGACATAAACACTTAGAAGGCCATTTGGAGCAATGTTCATTTAGCTATACAATCAAGTTCCTACCTAGGGCCAAAGACTTCCTCCACCATGAGTTTTGACTGGGATTACAGTACCATGAATGAATTTGCTCCTGTGGAAGGGATCTCACATTCAATCAGGGACTGAGGAAGATCATCAGTGGGCTATATGGGCCATATGCAGGGTATTTTACCCAGCCCACAGGAAAGTCTGAGACTGGTTCCTCCTATGGCCCTAATTAGGCTCTTCCCCAAGTGGGGAGGTGAGTTCTCAGAGAGCAGGGATCCACCGGTGGGCAGACTGGACAGAGAGGCCTGGTGTGGGCATGCCCCTGTCGCCAGAGGTTGGAACAGACCCATGGCCAGCACAGCCAGTTCAAATTCAATCGGAGTGATTGATTACCCCGTAACATTCTTGCTACTATTATTCCAGGGGTCACTTATTGCCTGGTAGGTTGATTGGAAATTTATAGAGTTCACAGGTACTTTTTTTAAAGTTCACACTGATTCCCTTTTTCTCCCAACAGCCTACATAACACCTCTGGGAATGTGGAAGCAGGGAAGACATTTCTGGTTCCGTTTCGGTTTCATTTCCCTATATCACACAGCCAAGGTATGTACTCTCTTCAGCAACAGGGCCCATTAGCTAGGTCTCATCGGAAACTGAGAAGAAGGGCAGGAGCCTATACTGTCTGAGGCCTCTCCGGCCTCACTGACCAACAACTCAAGGACTTATCCCATGCCTGGAACGGGAACTTTGTTTAATAACCCTTGGCTTTCAAGGATTCATCAGCCATGCAGGATTCCTCCCTTTACATATCTAAGTTACAAACTATTGGGTTTCCATTTGGGTTTTTTGTTCAGCCTTCATTTGGGTTAACCTTTCTCCTCTTGCCCCTCAGTTGCTCATCCCCTGCCACATCCCTGCTTAACATTTCCACTCCCACTATTCCCCTTCTCCATTTTCATAGTTAGCACAGCAGAGCACAGCAGAGCATGATAATATAGTACAGCAGTTACCTACTCTCCCCTCTCCCTCAAAGCATCCCCAAACCTGCCATTCCCATTTCAGTCTGCTGGCTTCCACGGGTGCTGCATGTTAAACACACAAATCTAAAGAGCCAAGCTGGGATCCACATGGGAGAGAAGTCACCTGAGAGGCCTCTCTTTCTGGACCTGAGTTATCACACTTGATATAAGTTCTCCGGTTCGTCTCTTTACTGGAGAACTGAGCAAATTACAGTCTGTATAATAACAAACTTGCTTTATCCATTCACCGGGTGGTGGGCACCTCGAAGTGGTTCGGTTTTCTCTGCAGGGAGAATCGGTTGCAATTAAGTTTGGAAAACGCTGTTCCACTTCTAGTACTGCAATGTCTATTGGCTTATTCAAGGTTCTCCAATGAAGAAACCTGTTGAATTTCATTCAGAAGTTTCCCAAAATTGGGGGTTAAGGACGATTCTTATTCAGAACCAAATTTAGGCAGTGATACCACCTACTATGTGCCGTTGTTGTTGTTGTTGTTGTTGTTGTTGTTGTTGTTGTTGTTATAAGGTATCATGTTTTCTAATCTGGATCTAAACTTGCTATGTAGTCAAGAATGACTTGAATTTTACAGTACTCATGATGTTGTTGTTGTTTGTGCTGTTATTATTATCATCATCATTATTATTATTGCACTAAAGATTAAACCTAGGGCTTTGAGAATGCCAGGCAAGCACTTATCCAGTTGAACTGATTCCCTAGTTATCTTTGTGTGTTTCTAAGGTACCAGTTTGTGAAGCCAACCATTAGCTTTACTCCAGTCACACTTGTCAGATCTCTCTCCAGTAAACTCAAGTTTTGTTTTTTCTATTGACTTGTTCAAAGTCTTTGGCATAATGCTTCCTTTTGCCTCATCCTTTTAATCTTATCTTAAAATTGTTAGTTTTAGTCTGACTTACAAGATTTGGCAGGAATCTTATGGTTCTGCAGGCATTTCAATATCACCTCCAAGAAGAGTGATTGGCTTGATTTTATTTCATCCCCCCCCACCCCCGCCAAGCGTGTGAAGAAGATATCAAAGAAAATGGATCAAGGACAGAGCAAGTGCTGCTATGGATTGGCTTCTAATCACTGTATCATTGTCATGTGGCAGTCCTGACAATAAATGTCACTCATGTAGGAAAGGATGAATGTTAAATAAAATAATCTCCCAAGTACTTTGATACAACGTGTTTAGAGACATGACTTTTAAATGGCTTTGGGGAACTTGAATTTTGGTTTTATTGCAAGTACCTGATGATATGCTGGGATAGTTGACAGGGGTTTGTTTTTAACAGGTTTCTCAGTATGCATTCTTCTTCTATAACAGAATACCAAGATTGTTTATAAAGAACAGAAGTTCATCTAGATCATGGTTCTAGAGGCATGGTGCTGATGCCTGGTCGTGAGGAGACAGCAAATGGAAGGACAATGAAGTGTGAGAGGAAGACATAGAGATTGCATTTCCAACACATGAACTTGGGGAGAACAGATCTAAAGAATAGCCACAGGTTTGAGGACAGGTGTGGGACCTGTAGAGCCTGTCATAGATATGAAACAATGAAGTCATAGTATTTTCTGCACATTTTCCAGCTCCATGTTGACTCACCTATCCCAGGTCAGACATTAATTCCTTCCCACCTACCCAGCACCACAGAAGGCCTTGCAGACCTTTTGAGTTAAGATCTTTGAAGACTCTTAAGACGTCTGTGGGCTAGAAATATGGCTTAGTAGAAAGAACACTGTGTCTCATGTTCAGGACCCTGGATTCTAGCTGAGCATTGGTCCTGATGCAGGAACAGGAAATAGTGTTGCAACCAAAGACTCCACTTGGTTTGGGCTATGTACACACTCCTATTCTAAAAATGTGCTTATGCACTTGGAAACCTAGGTCTCTTATCTTACCTTCACAATCCGAAAATGCACCTAGGACCCCTACCTGCATTAAGTTACACACCCCTCTCTGAACAACAGAAGTAAGTTACTCCCCATAGCAGCCCCTTGACAAAAACTGAGTTCTATCCAAACCCATCCTGAAACACAATCTGAGAACTATAGGCAATGGCCTATCCTGCTCTGTCTGTTTTGGAGTGCATGAACAATATAGCAAACTGTGTCCTCACAGTGGAGTTACCTATTTACCACCATATGCCTATGGATAAGTGAACATACATATGATTAAAATCAGATGCATTGTGGGAAGGGACATGTACAGTAAAAAAGATACTATATCACTTAGTCTGATACATGCATCAGTTACTTGAGTTCCCTAAACCACAGCATACCTATTCACTGCCTACCCATCTTCCCTACAGAATGGATGTCCTACCCAGCTCCACGCTATCTCCTGAAACCCTTTACATCTTTCAAGTCCTAGTCCACAATTCACCACATCTCTGAACCCTTCTTCTCCTAACTCCAAAGTTCTCCCTCTGTATTTGTGCTTTTTTTCTTGACAACTTTGCCTTCTCCCGATAGACTACGAGCTTCTCAAAAAGAACTTTAAAATTTTATATGTCCCAGCATCCTCACTACCTGGCTGTACCCCCTTCTTTCAGAAATGAGAACAATGCTTAATGGCCAGAAGAAATACATAACCTGCCTTTGAGCTCTGATATTTCAAAGGATAATAAACCTCAAGGATGTAACTACATGTAGGTAACTTCTGATTTTAGAGTTGTGAATCTCCCTCCCAATGCTCACTGAAAGCATTCTGAAGACAAAGTGTTGGTTCACGGAGCAGAATGGAATTTTCTAAATATGAGGTTCACAACAACCTCACCCCACACCATCTTCTTACAAAGGGACATTGGCAATTTGTGTGTGGTGTTCCTGTGAATTCAAATGGGCTTGTGACTATAAGAAGACTGTTAAGTACTATCCAAGATAATATTGTCTGCATGGGTCTCTCAAGATGCTCACTCTTTGAACCCAGCCAAAATGTTGTACAGATGCCCATCTTAGTTTCTTGTCTTTGCCACCATGATAAAAAATCCAGACAAAAGCAACTCAAAGGAAGGACAATCTGAGGTACAGCCATTATGGTGGGGAAGTGAAAAATGCAAGTGCTTGAAGCAGATGGTGACATCACTTTCACAATTAAAAGCAGAGAACGATGAATGCATACTAGTCCCCATTTTATACAGTCCAGGACTCCTGCCTACAATTAAGGTGGGTCTTCTCATATCAATTAATGCAATCAAGATAATCCCCCAAAGGCAGTGGATCCTTAAGGACTCATCTGCCAGGTTTTCCTAGATTCTGTCAAGCGGTACAATTAACACTGACCATCACAATGACAGTTTCATAGAGGCGCCATGTACTGGTGCCCTGCTAACAGCCCCAGCTCAGGTATCAGCCCTGACAGAAGAGAACAAAGAAGACCCTATAGATTTGAGCCAACAAGTCGCCAAGAGTGCTAGAGCCTTTTCCTGCTGAGCATTGAGACTTCTGGAACAGAGGCAGCCTACCCCCGCTGTGCCCTTTGTGAATTCCTGGCTGGAGAGTCTTGATAGTAGTACAATGACTGTTCTCCTAGGATGTCACTCTTGGTGGTGGTTCATTCTGCAACAAGACAAAGACAGATATAACAAGTAATCAGTGGGGCCACCATCCCTTACCCTACTCTCAGAAGGACCTTGGTGTCCTAGGAAACGTCACTACAGTTTCTCCAGAGAAGAGAAGATGGCTGTTTGTTTGATGGTCGCACACACTATAGCTCTTTCTTAAGGAATATTCCTGTATAAAAGAGCAAGCTCGTGGTCGTGAGATATCAGAAGCAGCAGCAACCTGCTGTTATCACCAGCACTCCCCAAGTGTATCTGATACCAGACTCCTCTTAGCATACCACACAAAACATCCCCAAAGAAACTCCAGCTCCTGTAACAATCTGATGCACTGGGCTACAATAATTTAAACTCACCAAGCTAAAGTCTCCAGTGCTGGCCAGTAATTTTGTTGGTAAGGCCTTGCACTCAGCAGGACAGCCTTAGAAGAGCAGCCAAAAGCAGCCAGGGAAAGCTCCGCCTGCATGCAGTGCTTATAACAGAAAAACGGCCCTTTGAGCTGAGGTGAGCATTTGACAAGACCCTGCACTTCCACGTCCCTGCAAACCCACTTCCAGCTCCACTTACAGAAGTTGACAAGGAGCAGTAGGTCTGAAATCGGAAAATGGAGAAACCTGCACAAAAAGATTATATTTCCAAACGGTGAAAACCTTTGCCTTTCTATTATTATTATTGTTGTTGTTGTTGTTGTTATTATTATTATTATTATTATTATTATTATTATTATTATTATTATTTTGGTTTTTTTGAGACGGAGTTTCTCCTTGTAGTTTTGGTTCCTGTCCTAGATCTCGCTCTCGCTCTGTAGACCAGGCTGGCCTCGAACTTTATGGTTCCTTTTTATTTCCTGCACAAGCCAGGGCAGCAAAGTGATCCTGGGATGACCCGGAGTAAGCAGTTCTCCGGTTTTCCGTCCATTTATATAATTAGCATTCTGCACTAGAAAGATCCTTGCTCTTTCGGTGCGATTTGATGCTGATAGGAGGCTGCTGCACCTCCTAGTTGTTGTTTGTCCACCATTGCCAGCCCAGGGAATTGGCTCACCGAGCACCTCAGCGGTCGGTGTACGCCACCGCCACCTTGTGGCCGCCCGTAGGAAGCTCACTCTCCTTCCTCTTTTTCTCTACAGTTCTGTGCATGGACATTAAGAAGATATAATTCTTCGGGGCAAGAAGGACAAAGAAAAATATATTCAGTTTTGTTAACTAGATATCAACCAGGCATCACCTCAAGTCATCTCTCATTAAAAGTCTGTGTGGCAGACAACTGATGTTGAGACAGAGCTGATTATAAAATTGGGGAATATAGCCATGAACACACAGTACATATGCATACACACACATTTGCACATGTATGTACACAAATTTACGTGCATTTGTGTGTCACAAACTATTTTATTATGACAGTAAGTGTGTTTGAATCATTTTTTAAAAACAGAGAAAGGGGGGCTGATGAGATGGCTCAGCCGAGAAGAGCACTGTCTGCTCTTCGGAGGATCTGGGTTCAATTTTCAGCACCCATGTAGAGACTTACAACTCTCTAGAACTGCAGTCCTGGGGGATCCAAATAGCTCTTCTGGCCTCCCTGGTCATCAGACATGCATGAGGTACACAGACACATAAGCAGGCAAAACACCCAAACACATCAAATGAAAATAAAAACAGAGAAAAGGTCCAGTCTCCACCATATCCCTATGCTCAGAGCATCCTCTGGGTTGGAATATAGATAGAGGTGTGGACTAAGTCCAGATTAGCCATCTTTTTTAGTCCCCAAATACCCCTGTAACTGAGATATTATTTCCCCCATTTTAGGAGTCTATTGGACACAATAGATTCATCATTCTAGTCTAATTAGTGTGAGTCTAGAAACTAGGCTCTGAAACACATGAGGTCCTAAAAAGAGTATTGCTCAGACTACATTTACTTTCCTCGGGACGAGAAGCCAATATCCCAGGAGCTCAGAACATGTCTAACCCAAGGATTTGAAAGCTGGGTCCCACCGAGGTGCCTAGGTTGTTACTTCATTCAACTCTCATTCTCTTCATCAGTGGTCTCAAGTCACAGCAACACTGAGTAACACACTGCCAAAGCCCCAGTGGTGGTGGTGGTGTGGGGGACACCAGCATTTGCTGGTCTGATGGAATCAGCTGGCTTTTGACTGAACAGATCTAAGGACCAAGCTGGACTAGCTCAAATATTTGAGAAAGGGGCATTTATTCACTCACTGGGATGCTCCACTGAGGCTGATTTCTTCCTCTTATAGAACGCCAGTCATCTGGGATTCCAACTAACTAAGTCTAGGTTGGTAACCCAGTGAATTTATGGGGGTTACTCCTATCCAGAATAGGTGGGGGGTTACTTGCAGTACAGTGGGTGAGGGATCAGTTGCAGGAGCATGGGAAGGATGATGGGGGGAGGGGCACAGGTGACTCAAAGGTGGCTGCATCGTTTATACGCCTTACAGGCAGCTTCACTGTAGAGTTTCTTCTCCCCAGTCATTGAGGGGGGTGGGGTGGGGGTGGGGGTCTTTGTGGATCCCATCCCTTTTCAGAGCTTCCTGAGACTAAATGTTGTTAATATGCACTTCCTTCCTCCCTCGGGAAGGGAACCTTCCAAGTTAGATGGAACAGCTCCACCAATTAGGACATACCCTGAAATAATGAGGATCCGGCCTTCAACAGATGAGTTTGGAGATTACGGGGACAGTAATATCCACAGCTCAACAGCCATGCAGAAGAAACTTTCAGAGGATATTATAAAACACTCCTGCAGCTCTGTCTAACACTGTGGGAGGGAAACCTTAGCGAGTCTTTCATACATAAATATGGATGAGCTGACCCTAGCTGCGTATAAAGTATGATCATAGCTCAAAACAGAGAGAAGCAGAGGGCAAGACTTAGAAAGAGACAGAATCAGTACAGGCCAAGAAGAGGGTTGATGAGAAGAGAATAGAGGCGTGAAATGGGAGTCCAGTTTCATTCTACAGGTACTGATTGCCCCATAGGCAATCCTTTCAAGGCCTCCTCCTACTGTCCTAACACCCTTACTGTAAACCCCCACTACCGCCAGACCAGCCTCCACTGGCAGCAGAGGAGAGAGAACTCAGCTCACCCTATCGTTCATGGCCTTCTGCAATGCAATCTGAAATTTTGTGTCCTTTTAAGTGCCCTTCCAAACCCCTGAGCCCTTGCGACATCCATTGCACCCATATATCCGAAAGCTGAAGGGGCCCTTTGATTTGTGAGTGCTTCCCTCTCACACAGGACCGGCTCCTTGTTCATCCCGTGCACACGTATCTGCATCCTTCAGTGATGAAGTTGACATCTTTGGCAGAGGGCTGTAGACTCCTTAAGGAAAACCCCATCTAGTATTCACCTGTGACACTCCCTGCAGCCTGCCATGGTACCTAGTGTCTAGCAAGTACTCAAATAAAAGGTTTTCTGAATAAATGAACTAATGATATTTTGTGGCAACTAATTAAAGAAGAATCCAGTAGCTGACATTTGAAAATGTCGATGGTGCTGACTCACCTGTTGGAGGACAGACAGGCGAGCGTTCTCCGATAACTTGGTGGCTTTCCCATCTGTCAGACACACCTTATCCATGATGATGTGTTTGCTCACTGCAAGGAGAGACAGTTACTCAGAACTCAGGTATTTTTGTACAGTCAGACTATTATGTCTGGAATTTAATATTGCTCTGTCCTGTGATATTTATTTCAGGGTCAGAAGAAATGTAACTACTCCCTGCCTATTTGTGTCCAATCTAACAGTTTAGGAGAGGGCTTAGACTCACTGTGCTGGCTTTTGATGCATAAAAAATAGCCTGGCTTTAACACGTGCATTTTCCAACAATACAATATTAAGCAATTATCATTTGATATTTTAATTTTTTTCAACAGATTGGCATTCCACGTAGCATGTTAGTCTTCCTTATATCTTTGATGATGATGCACATATGAGATTATAGATGTATATACCATATTTGGTATGTTATGTTTTCTTGTATTAATGTGTACAAATAAGATTTTTATCCAACCCAAATTGAAGTTTTACTATGGGATAAAAGTGTTGTGTTATTTATTGCTGCAATGCCTTTAATCAGATACTCTTTCAAACTTTCCACACCTATCATTTTAGCAGACAGTGCAGGGAGTCAGTCTAATAAATAATATTATCTCCTTACTTGAGGAAACTAAGAAGTGAAGAGATTATCTAAGGGGATATTGCAAGTTATCAGATCCTAAACAAGATTTTGTTGCTTCAATTCCTGGTGCTTGCCAAAAGAATTTAGCTAAATAAAGTGCATTCCACAAATAATGATGACCTTAGGGAAGCCTCAAAATTGAGACTCAGGTGATCTTCGTGAGTGCAATGGAGTCTGGTCAACAGACTCAGAAGGACTTGTCGTGGGTGCAAAGGTCCGTAACAATCACCAGTCACCAGAGTACCAACATCAAAGGTCACGCCCGGGCTCCTGTCTCACAAGTCCCATGAATAGAACCCACAGACAGTAGGCCAGTGTGAAAGCCAAAGCAGTTGACTGAACAGCAGGGGAAGGGGAACTCTCAAGAGAAAGGCAAAAGCAGCAGGGGGTTCCTGGGACACATAGCTGCTGCTTTTGCTCCAGGTATAGACAGGACTTTGCAAAGGAGAAGGCTAGGAGTCTCCAGAGCAGTGGTTCGGAGCCTTCCTAATGCTGTGACCCAACAGTTGCTCATGTTGTGACCCCCAGCCATCAGTTCATTTTTGTTGTTGCAACTTCGTGAGTGTCATTTTGCCACTGTTGGGAATCATGTTTTCCGGTGGTCTGAGGGGACCCCTGTGAAAGGGTTGTTTGAACCCCCAAGGGGGTAGAGAGCAACCACGAGCTGCCTATCAGTGTGCCCTTCGTTCTCTGCCTCTGTTGCTTTTCTAGAATCCAAGGAGTCTTTCCTTGTGGTCAGCAGGTAGTTGGTTGTCATTGAGCAGCAACCTGTGGGCAGAGGTTTCCTTATCAAGATCAAAAACCCTTTCACGATATGTAGACACTGAAAGTATTCACCAGCCCTTCCTGGAACCTGAAATGGGTGCCAAATCTCAAGCTAGCAAGACTCTCTCAATTTAGCTCCCCTTGGACCCGCTCAGTTGCAGCAATTCCTGCTGGCCACAGAGACAAACGTTTTAGCACAGGAAGTTCCACTGTTGTCACGAACATCAGCAAGCCATCAGACAGGAACGTAAGACAACCAAAGATGCAGCAGCTCTTTTGTGTGCTATTAAAACGGTTATACCATTCTGTGCTCATTAGGAATACTGGTAAATCAATCTTTACAACAATATGCTTGTGAAAAGATCTAAGGAGTGAATATTAAGTCACTACCCTGAGTGAAATGATGTCTATATCCTATCAGTTAACCTTTACAAAGCTTTATTCCAAAAGAGTATTCCTTAACAACTGAAACTAACCCAGAGACTTCAGAGTGAGATGTCTGTGCTCCGTAGACTTAATCCACCTTGGGCTGTCACTTTCGTTTACTCGGCCATGTGTACGGCCCCCGCCTTCTTTTACATTGATTAGAAGTCAGCTAGAGAAACAGCGGTGTATGGGCTACCGTTCCTTCTCTCTGCGCACAGACAAACAAACAGTCCTAAAGACAGACAGACAAAGCTGCCAGTGGTGGCTGCAGTGCCGAGGAGAGGCACAGAGGAGGGGCTACTAATGCAGGCTGGCTCTCACATTCCAGCTTTCAAAATGCCTTTCATTTTCAAAGCCGCATCTCTGATACCACATCGATTTATGAGTCTGAAATGGAGAGTGCTTTGAAGTGTAATTTCCCTAGCAGGACCTCAGAGGCTCTGTCTCTAAGAAGAGAACAGTGCTCATCTCCAGGGATGCTTGTCAATGTTAGCTGGCATTTCCAGAGTGGACAAGAGAGTATGGATCTGAGAGGAAAGGAGAGGGTGAAGGGAAGTGGATGGTTCCAACCTGAGTTTTAAAACCCTAAATCAGCTTCCTTCTTAAAACCACACACTTGCCACATCCCAGATGAATTGTAAAGCCTCCAGACTGGCCTGCTTCCCAAACAAGATTCCCATCGGCATGGTAGGAAAGCTGCAGTGACCCAGAACCTCAGACTCTCATAGTCAGAACAGTGATCATGATCACCTCAGCCTTGGCCCTCCCCTTGGTCAGTCTCTACCCAGGAACAAGAGCATCTCACGGTAATTCAGAGCGAATTACCAGGCCTAGGGATATAACAGTTTGATCCAGAGAGACCACCAAAATGGATTGCCGGGGTCTTCAAGAGCAGTGTAAAAAGACTAAAATTTCTACTAAGAGATTTTTCTCTAAACTAAAAGGGTGACAGTGAGGGAAACTTACAAATCATGGATAGTACAGCTGTGAAGAAAGTTTCTCAACCAAAAAGTCTTGGATACAAGTAAAATGTCATCGCAGAACAAAATGAGAGTTATCATCTCTAATAGGTAGTGCATCATTTAGCACTCAGGTATTTTCTTGTTGTTTTGCAACAGGGCTCTCAGCGGTAGGAGCCTGTGATTCAGTAATAGGGCTCATTTCTGCTGTCCGCTGTATTTCATTTATGGGTAAGCACAGTGAGGGTCCAGGCTACAGTGGCTGTGTGCTTAGCTGCACCTGCCAGCCGGAAGGAAGGCTGAGCAGCTGATGGCAATGTCTAGTGCCATCTCTCACCTGGCGCAGCCACCTGTCGGGAGATAAATCTCCCAGGAGCAGAATAAAAGCCTCAGTTGCAGTTTGAAAACCCTAAACTTCAAAACTCCAAAAGCACAGAGGAAATAAAGCAGCATCTAAGGCCCATTCCTCAATTTCTGACTCATACATCCGTTTATATTGTGAAAGCCAGTCTTCATGAAGCATATTCCTTTACTGATGAACTACATAGAGAGTGGAGCCAGTTTGTGACTTCCATAAATGCTTCTTGATGATTCAAGAAATAGCAAGGCAAAGCATTTGTGTCAAGTTTTAGATGAGCACCTGTAAGGCAACATGATTGCCCTGATCGTGTCTTCTTGAAGAATCATTACCCTGGGTACCTCTTGCTCTTTTCTCCCTCTTTCTCATCATCTCCACCTCTCTAAATACCAGTGACTTCCCTTCAGCTCTTAAGCCCTGAGGACAACTTCCTTTGGTCCTTCTTTCCAACAGCCTGTTATAGCAGCCTAACTCAGTCAGTTAAAACAGAGCTGCCCCTTGGGGCCTCAGGCTTCCCATCCTCTCTCACCTTGACAATTTAGACTGCGACACATCTTAGAGGTCAAGAATGTAAGTGACCTGGAGGTCAGGCTTGGTACAATTCCAAGTGAACTGCTACATGGATTTCTCCAAAATGCCACAGCCATGGCCAAGGACATGCACACCCAAAGTACCAGGGAGTGTTCAATGACTCTTGTGTCGGAAGCAGCTGGCTGAAGAATGCCCGGGCTCTGCAGGCTCAGCAACTGGAGCCTGACTTCTCTAATTTCCTTCATGGAGCTCTTTGCATAGTCAAGTGCCCAGAGGGGTAAAAGAACACTCATAGCTCCTAAGCACTTTCCAGAGGAACACAGGGTTGGCCTTGGGCAAAAATTTAATCAGGAAATTGGGCTTTTCAAGCTCTCTAGCTTCATTTTCTTACAGCATACTGATTTATTTCACAAGGTACATTGATTGTTACAATATGCCGCAACCCTAAAAGCAGACCTAAAAGAACAAGCATGTTTTTCACTGCTATTTCTAACCTAGTAAGATATTATTTTCCATTTGTCCCTGCTATATTGATATGTAATTGGCAAACTATGCATCTTTAAAGCATCCAACTCAAATGTTTGAAATATGTTTCTGCTGTAAAATAAATAACCATATCAAGCAATTAGCATAACCATCACCATACACCCCTTTTGCTCTGTGGTGGTAAAGAGTTCTGAAGGACCATTCACCTGGCTAATTCCAAATACCGTATGCATTCTTACATAACAGTCCCCAGGATGGACAACTGAAAGTCCATGACCTTTGACCAACGGCTGCCCATGATCCCTGCCAGCCCGTTTTCTAACAGTTTCTACGAGTTTTTAGGATCCACTTATAAAGTGAGTTGCCTTTCTGTGTCTAACTTATGTGACTCAGCATGATGTCTTACAGGCTCATCTACTTCATGTTATCACAAATGGCTGCATTTCCCTCTTTTTAAAGGCTGCAGTGTGTGTGTGTGTGTGTGTGTGTGTGTGTGTGTGTGTGTGTGTCCATTTTCTATTCAGCTGGGAATAAACATTTAGACATTTTATAGTGCCTCCATATCTTGCTTCTTGTGAATAGTATTACAGCAAGCACAGGAATGCAGGTATCTCTTCAACAGAGCGATTGCTGCTGTGATCTGTATGTTATTAATGACAACACTTTGCACTTACAGAACTGGAAAGATTCTAGGGAGTCAGAAAGCCTCGACAGAGCACTGTGTGTGTGTGTGTGTGTGTAAGTTGTGGGTATTTCATATGTATGGAAGGATGCTAAGGCCACGGAAGAGTTACAAGAGCTGAAGCCAGGCAGTTTCTGGTGCCACATACTCCTCATTGCCTCCTGCCTACCTGTTCGACTTACAGATAGAAATGGGTTATTATATCTTTG